TAGTTCCAAATCCTTTCACGATGGCGCTGCAGTAGTAAATGGGGTTGAGTACCGTCATTATATAGACACAATTATAGAACAATAGGTTGTGGTCACCGGTGACCGCTTGGTGTTTGACAGTTAGTAAAGAACTGTAAATTAATACACGCTGACGAATGTGTTCTAAATTCTTAACACGTTCGACCCGTGAGGGTCTCCGCTGACCAACATTAGCGGTTTGAAATCAGACACTTTAACAGGGTAAGCCGTCCGGTAGATTATTTCGAAATATTGGACACATATTTTTAATTTTCTTACAAAATTAAATAGTTTCGACGATATATTGATTTGAAATATCGTGTGACGTCACTATTTACGACTTCCCACATTCTAAAATGAATTCCGTTTTATCTAAGTATTGTTTTCATATACGACAAAATAATCGTACGTTCGATATTATCGGACGACATGCTCGCTTGACGTCCAGGCGAGATACCTAGTGGGCAAATGTCGCCCATCAAATATATATCTATATATATACTAGCGGACCCGACAGACGTTGTTCTGCATATCCACTTGAATGTATAAACAAAAATTCATTCAAATTAGTTCAGCTGTTTAGGATATGTAACCTAGACACCGACTGCTAACCGGGGCTCCGGCTCGACGTGCAGGAGAAGGAACGGGGCGGTTTTTAGTCAGTAAGAGTCTGACACTCCCTCCCGCCTCACCCAGGCGGGAGCAGTCATTCGATGATTTTCCCCCCTTAAAAAAAAACCGACTGCAGCGTCATCTGCCAGGCTGATTTGTGAATCTAAACCATCCAGGGCGCCACTCAAAGGCGTATAGAAAAAATCATTTAACACGTTGTGTACCGTCATAATAGACACAATTAAAGAACAATAGGTTGCGGTCACCGGTGTACTCGCGGTGTTTGACAGTTTAAATCGGTCAAGCCGTTTAGGAGGAGTTCAAAGACAGACACACTTACAGCACAATTATAATTATATATAAAGATAAAAAGCATCTGAGGGTAAAAGGCTAGGCCTATTACAATAAAACTGATTTAATATATTTTTTTTACAAACTGTTCTTTATAAAGTTATACCTCTGAATCCTATATATTCCACCCTTATTGTCCCATTATTGTGTGTTGTGCTATATTAGGAGTAAAAATAACGAATTTCAATGTTATTATATATATAGGAATACTCAAACAATTTAAAAATGTAACAAGAAGTGGCGTACGTGCTTAGTATCGTCATGAGCTAATGGTAACATGTAAACAGTGACTCATGTAGTGTAGAGATTGTCCAGTCAACTGATGGTAGCGTGGACTGTCCAGGCGATACGTACTTTAGGTATCGTCATGAGCTACTGGTAACATGTAAACAGTGACTCATGTAGTGTAGAGATTGTCCAGTCAATTGATGGTAGTGTCGACTGTCCAGGCGATACGTACTGGGTTATCGTCATGAGCTAATGGTAACATGTGAACAGTGACTCATGTAGTGTAGGGATTGTCCAGTCAACTGATGGTAGCGTGGACTGTCCAGGCGATACGTACTTAGGTATCGTCATGAGCTAATGGTGACATGTAAACAGTAACTCGTGTAGTATAGACTAATATTGTTAATGTTTGAGTATTCTCTTAGTGTTGTCAATTCGAAGCCAAGTTTTGTTAAAAAATATAATTCTTCATTTATATTCGTGTCATAAATCAATAGGGTAGTGTCTTCAATTTTATTTTAATGTCCGTCTGGTAGATTATTTTAAAACATTAGACACGTATTTTTTCTTTTCTCACAAAATTAAATACTTTCGACGATATATTAATTTAAAATATCGTGTGACGTCACAGCGTGCCACATTTTGTAGCACGTTATGACGTAACGACCTCCCACTCCTATACTTAGCGCCATTTTATCTAAGTATTGCAACTTAAAACGAGAAAATAAAAAATACGTGTCTAATATTTTTTCATTATCTAACTGACGGACTAATTAGATTTTGAGTTTTCTTACCCTGGAAATTACTTATTGTAGTTATTGCAAAATAAAGTTGATTTTTTTACAATCTTATGCACTTGGTTTCGTCGGCCTAAACTGTTCAGGACTTGGCTTAAATTTAGCATTTATATGTAGTTTTTATCGATGTGGATAATGGTGCTTAAAAATACAAAAAAAAAAAAATATGTATGTACGTTTTTTTTATAGTTAGTCGAAAGGATACGTAACCAAACAGTCTCCGAAACAATCTGTATCTTGAATGTTAAAAAAATCATGTATACCGAAAATGATATATCAGAGCTATTAAGAAGAAAAAGAAGATTTCTGGCTCACAAATCACCTTGAACCTAGTTTTAACGAGAGCGCCATCTAGCGACAAATTTTGGTAAACACTGATACGTAAAAAATAAGCTTGTCTTTGCAATTTGAATTATGTAAGCTGAAATTATTATTATGCCACTGATGTCTTCTATAAAAAAAACAATAATTTTTACTACGACGACAATTGACATTGACAAAATTGCTCATTTTCATCTCTGCTAGCTAAGCTATTCCTGCTCGGCAATAGTAGCGTGATGATTTATAACCCACAGCCTTCCTCGATTAATGGACTATCCGACACAAAAAGAATTATTCAAATCGGACCCGTCGTTTTGGAGAGAGAGTGCGTTTAAACTATTCAGCTTATAATCGGTGGTATATTAATAATTTAATATATAAGTAATTAAGGCTTTACCGTTATATTTCACTGTAGAATCTATGTTTAGAAACAAATATAATGATTGTTGAATATTTTTGCTGTTTTATTTTTTTACTAGCAACCCACCCCGGCTTCGCACGGGTGCAATATGCTTGTATTATACATATAAAACTTCCTTAAGAATTACTCTATCTATTAAAAACCGCATCGAAATCCGTTGCGTAGTTTTAAACATCTAAGCATACATAGGGACAGACAGACGGCGGATAGCGACTTTGTTTTATACTATGTAGTGACGAGGCAGTAGCCTCGTTGGCCGAATGGTCGCAATTACGACTGCCGGGCAAGGGGTCTCCGGTTCGATTCCCGGGTCGGGCAAAGTATTACTGGGGTTTAAAAAAAATCTCAGTAGTAGCACGGAGTCTGGAATTGTGCCCGGTATATGGCAATAGTCTCATCCCCTATTACATGGGACTCATAACATAAATAGTGAAAAGTGGGTGTTACATTGTACAGTGGCACAATGTGCACCTCTGCCTACCCCTGCGGGATAAAAGGCGTGATGATGATGTTATGTGATTTCTTCCAGACAAGACTTCCTTTGGATGGAAATATTTATAAGAAACCAAATATGGGTTAGTAAGTAGTGTACAATAAAAAAAACTTCTACAGTTGGGAGCAATGAAATGCAGCCGCTAGCATCTTTTCTCTTTCATTTCTTAATAAATTGTTTGATATAAGTATTTTATTAACTCGTCGAGTACCGGTTTTATAGACACAATTATAGAACAATAGGTTGCGGTCACCGGTGACCGCTTGGTGTTTGACAGTTTAATTGGTAACGCATGTCGTACCTATACAAGGCAATTTAGTTACCTTTAAAATTAGAGCATTTTATTGTGGAATATATTTTTTAAGTTATAGGGTTGACTGCCTCGTTGGCTGAGTGGTCGCAAGTGCGTCTGCCGGGCAAGGGGTCTCGGGTTCGATTCCCGGATCGAGTAAAGTAAGACTGGGTTTTTAAAAAAACTGTCGCACGGAGTCTGGAATTGTGCCCGGTATATGGCAATAGACTGACCTCTATTACATGGGACTCATAACATAAATAGTGGAAAGTGGGTTTTACATTGTACAGTGGCATTAAGTGCCGTCACGCTTACCTACTCCTTCGGGGATAAAGGATATGAGGTTATGTTATACAGGGTTCCGATAAAATGAAAAAAAAAAACGCCAATGGCATCGTTTCTTCGCTTTCAAGTGTATAAGTTGCGATACAAATAAGTAATTATGTACCTATGTTAGTTTAATGGCCCGATTTGAACCTAACACCATTTTTAGACGTAATCATTCGAGTTCAATTATCGAATTTGTTTTTTTTTATAAAACGTTGCCCCACACTAGCATTGTCCCCTGTGTCGTGGGTGCGTTTACCAACATAAAAGTTCACATACACATGACACCCAGACTCGGATATTTTTTCACATGACACCCAGAATCAAAAATAAATTAAATTGATCGATTTTGTGCCGGTCGTAGGTTCATAAAACTGCAAAGGTCTATTCCCATACACATTACGGTCTACCCGTACAGGTATCAAGTGGATCTTTCCGATTTCATAACTAACAAAAAGGTGAGATCAATAAAACAAAAGAAAAATAAAGACAAAACATTTATTTCATAAAAACACAACAATCTTACATATTTACTTTTTTTATAGTACAAAAAGGAATAAAAATAATTTTTAAAAAGATAACACAGGCGAAAGTCACAGATAATAAAATATATCTACATAAAAAAGTGGGTTCGTTTGACAGATGTCAAATTCGAAATGTCAAAAATAATATAGGTCATAGTTATTTGATAATTTTGTATCGTTACATGTTTAGTAAGGCAACTAGCAGTAGTTCTTATTAATTCAGAAAAAATAGCAGAATAGCAATTTGATAATGAACGATCAAGGGATTATTTATCGGTATTCAAAATAATAATTAAAATTTGACTGAGGAATTGCTTTCTTCAAATAGCTTGGCAAAAAGAGTTTGACGCGATGACAGCTGGAACTATAATTGACTTGAACTTAATCACCAACTTCGTAGCATATCCCATGAATAAACAATTGGGTAGTTTCCAGGGTATCAAAATTAAAAATGTAATTAGTCCGTCAGTTAGATAATGAAAAAATATTAGACACGTATTTTTTATTTTATCGTATTCGTCGTTTTATTATATTGTGCTACGTGACGTCACACGATATTTCAAATTAATATATCGTTTGAAAGTATTTAATTTTATGAGAAAATAAAAAATACGTGTCTAAAGTTTTAAATTAATGTACCAGACGGACATTAAAATAAAATTTAGGAAACAACCCTATTATCCGGACCTCTTTATTATAAACTCGATATAAATAACAAATATCAAAACCTGTTGAGTCGTAGTGTACCAGATTGCAACAGGTAGGTACGACACTAGCGACCTCAATTATGCCGAACTCATTTTTGCCAAACTGTACTTGTAATCTTGATGTAACTACAAAGATACAAATTATCGAGCTAAATACTAATCAAAACCAGTTTATTTTCACCATAATCTATTTCTAGTCTCCCTAAAGAAGTCATTAGGGGAGGCCAATGAGAGGCCGTGGACAGTATATAGCTGATATTGATAATGAAGCTCAATAACTTGTCTCTTATTTAGAACTCTATATCGATGTACTTAAGGATGAAATTGCTGGGGTATTTGCAGGTGTTTCTTCTCAGCTGACGGTGTCATTGAACGGCAACGCTGTAATAGATAAAGTTCCTTCAAAATTTTTCAGAGTTGTACCATTTTTGGTAGAGGCATGGAGCAGGCTGTGGTGGGCCGGAGGTTTAAGACGCCCGCTTCTCATGCATGCGGGTTCGAAACACATAGGCTAGTATCAATGCGACTTTCGAGTTATATGTACTTTCTAAGATTATTTAGACACCACTGACAAACGGTGAAGGAAAATATCGTGAGGAAACCTCGGCTTATAATTTCTAATTATAAGTTTGAAATCGCCGACCCGCTTTGAGCAACCGTGGTGAATAATGCTCAAACCTCCGTGTGAGAAGAGGCTTTGGTCAGCAGTGGCCACTTATAGGCTGTTGATAATGATGATGACGAAGCAGGAGTTTGCAATCATTAAGGATACCTAATATAATTATTATTTTTTCAGCTGACTCACGTAAATATTTGACGAAGTATTCGACTAGTTTCAAGCCATGCATGATAATTATTCATGAGTAGCATTCCCCGACCGGTGACGCGGCGACTGTCGTGCGTCTATTGAGTAGCCAGTAGCAGTGACAGTACTCAGCAGCGCGACAGTCGCTGCGAGCATCTAACGTGGCTTGAAACTAGTCGAGTTCCTCGTCAAATAATTACGTGAGTAAGCCGAAAACCATAATAATTAATTTAGTATGGAGTCTCACTATAGTTATTGTATAATAAATTATAGGATACCTCTCTATAATCAGCTTCACAGATGACAGGAGTCCTCATTTCAACTCTCTTCAACGGTGTTTGGTCCATATCGTGGACCAGTTTGTAAACCTCCGAATGCTTCAGGTGGTCCAGAGATACGGGAGGTTTTTCGTATTTCATGAAGTTTATCCTGAATTGTGAAAAAATATGCTTTAGTATCAGTTTTTGTAGTTTTTTCTACGAAAGTGTCGTTTCGGTTACCAAAGTGCCGTTGAGAAACGGCAGTTTGGTAGAATGGCAAATTAGTAGTTTGGGAACTATTGTGTGTTTATTACAAATGATAGATAGATTGGGATGATTTTATTATATTTTGTAGGTAATTGTGGTCTGCAGTACAATATTTATTATTCTTCCTAAAGTTAGGTACAAATTAAGACCGAGTATTGGCCCTTTACTATGACCATCGATTATAAAGCGGAAGCGCGCGTGACGAGGGTATAAAACTCACGACCGCGCGACCGTCGCGCTTCTTCTACACACTACACACGATCCATGTCACGACCTAGTTTTTAATTTAAAATACGTTTAGTACAGTTGACGGTCGACGAAGGAATGATCCCTCTGGGAGACGCCTTGCCACACGAAATCGCATCGTAGCAATTCGTGTCGTAGTTTTCTGCGTTGCACATTCGCATCGCATCGCAGTTTTGTGTACGAGCCAGTAGCCATTTATAGACTGTTGATGAGTAATGATTAATGGACACATCTATCAATAGAACACTGCAAAATTACAAACAATTCATTCAAGAATGAGAGACTGCATGATTGATGCTTTGGGTAATCGTTGCTACACAACGTGTTGCTGCGTTCAATGCTCGCATGAAGTGTGACTCTATGTAATCCACATATAATAGTTCTTCTAGATTCTTACTCTTGAATCCAATTCCGATCGATCGACATTGATATTGTGTCGTACTCTTGAGTCGCAACACTAGCGCCCATTGCACGCGTATTGCGCGGATATTGAATGAACTAAATGGTATTGAGTTTGTCTTTATATTCCGTACTCTGAATGCTATTATGACAGCTACGATTGTGGTTGTATAGTGTTGACATTGAATAATTATTGAGATTTTATTGGATTGAAATTGCATTGACATTGAGATTGGTTTCAAGAGTAAGTACCCATGTCTGGGTGTCATGTGTATGTGAACTTGTGTGTTTGTAAACGTACTCACGACACAGGAGACAATCCTAGTGTGGGGCAACGTCTATATAAAATAAAAAACATATGCGAATGTGTGTAATTTTCGAGAGTAAGTAATGAAATAATGAAACGAATGTGGTTTTTTTTCAAAATACCCATGCTTGAAGAGTTGAAATTTTTGTGTTGAACTGATTTATTGTTTAACTAGCTGTTGCCCGCGATTTAGTCCGCTTAGAATATGAATTTTAGGACATAAGTTTTATTTATGATTCCATTTTTTAAAACAAAAGTACACTATTTATATTATACTTTAGTACATCAGCTACCTGCCAATAAAAGTCCTTCAAAATCGGTCCAGCCATTTCAAAGATAAGCCAGCACAAACAGACAGACAGACAGAAAATAAAAAAAAAGATGTTATTTTATTATGTGTATCGTATGTATAGTTATATGCATGTAGTAAAAAACAGTTATTTTAATATTAAAAACAGACATTCCAATTTTATTTATCGGTATAGATGTATATATTGGACTCACTTCAACCAATTTCTCATACGTATCTATCATGGTTCCACGTAGTCTATGAAAATCTACCAAGTGGCAGTTTGACTCTCTGGAAATTTCACATTTTGAATTAGGTAATAGTAGAAATAAAAATTAAAAGATTTTTTACTTTGTTTTGTATTTACCTACCTATGTACCTATTTATTTAATTAAAATTTGTACTACTTATTATATTTATAACTAGCGACCCGCCCCGGCTTCGCACGGGTGCAATATGCATGTATATAAACATAAAAACCATCCTTAAGAATCAATCTATTTATTTAAAAAAACCGCATCAAAATCCGTTGCGTAGTTTTAAAGATCTAAGCATACATAGGGACAGACAGACGGTGGATAGCGACTTTGTTTTATACTATGTAATGAAGCCTAATTGTCTTTCTAAGCGTAGATAAGTTAATTTAAAAAAAGGTTTGCAGTATAGGTACATTGTGCATAGGTATAGCATTTTTTTTTAAGGGGGGAAAATCATCGAATGACTGCCCCCGCCTGGGTGAGGCAGGAGGGAGTGTCAGACTCTTACTGACTAAAAACCACCCCGTTCCTTCTCCTGCACGTCGAGCCGGAGCCCCGGTTACCCGTTAGGTTCTCCGCGACATAGGTATAGCATAGGTACCATTTAGGTAAAAGTACACCCGTAACCACGTAACCGTATATTATTTGTCTCATTTCTGCCTAAATAATAATTAATGATAAGTAATTTACTAAAGAATGATAAAAACTATATAAACCAAAAGCACAAAAACTTTGACTTTTATGTCTCATGTTCTTGCAATTTGTAACATATTATAATCATAGTTACTATATATATATAATTCTGCTGCACGTGTGTATGTCATTGAATTCCTCATAAACGGCTTGACCGATTTAAATTATTTTTTCTGTATGCGTTTGAGTGGCGCCCTGTATGGTTTAGATTCACAAATCAGCCCGGCGCCCGGCAGTTGGCGCTGCAGTCGGTATCTAGGTTATTTATCTATTCCTATTATTATTATATTGTTATAATTATATTATATGCAGGACAACGTCTGTCGGGTCCGCTAGTATATATATATATATATATAATTATTATATAACACTAATATATTATACAACATCTACATACCTATACTTCCTACAATACGACTTGGTATCTCCCCATGGCCATATTTTGTTCCAAGTGTCAATCTGCCACCAGAACATGCAAACAAAACAGAAACAGACACATCAACGGACAGACAAACATGTTTTATATATACATACGAGTATGATATTTATACAATAATGTCTATGAAAATATATCTAATGTTCTAGTACTAAATAACATAACATAACATCAGGCATTTTATCCCCGAAGCTATAGGCAGAGGTGCACATTACGGCACTTAATGCCACTGTACAATGTAACACCCACTTTTCACTATTTATGTTATGAGTCCCATGTAATAGGAGGTAAGCTAATTGCCATATACCGGACACAATTCCAGACTCCGTGCTACTACTGAGATTTTCTTAAAAAAAAACCGAGTAATACGTTGCCTGGCCCGGGAATCAAACCCTAGACCTCTTGCCCGGCAGTTGCTCTTGCGACCACTCGGCCAACGAGGCAGTCGATAAACACAGGTTTTTGTATACATGTATCAAGTCCAGACAATACAATAAATAGACACGAAAAACAAAAGACAGCATTTATATACTAGACAGCCACAATATAAAGTTCACTATATTACAGTGAAACCTGGTTAAGTGAGACATCAAGGGACCTGCAATATCGTTTCACTTATAGAGGTATTCCACTTACCCAGTGTCTCAGATATACAGGTATAAATAAATATCTGTCTCATTTACAGAGGGTTCCATTAACTCGTCGAGTACCGGTTTTGTAGACACAATTATAGAACAATAGGTTGCGGTCACCGGTGACCGCTTGGTGTTTGACAGTTTAAATCACTTATGGCAGTATTCATCAATCACCCCTAATCATCCACAGCCAGCTGACTTTCTAGCTAGTGGCTACTGCTGATCTTTTTTTAAGGGGGTAAAAATCATCAAATGACTTCTTCCGCCTAGCTAAGGCGAGAGGGAGTGTCAGACTAATACAGGTATAAATAAATATCTGTCTCATTTACAGAGGGTTCCATTAACTCGTCGAGTACCGGTTTTGTAGACACAATTATAGAACAATAGGTTGCGGTCACCGGTGACCGCTTGGTGTTTGACAGTTTAATAGAGGTGGAATTTCTGGGTAGAATAAAAATGAGTAAACAAACAATGTTATCTCAGTAACAGAGGTTTATGCATATAAAATTTATTCGCTGTCTCAGTTTTAGAGGTAACTATGATGATAAATCGAAAGAACAAATCCCAGATATAGAGGTTTACCTCGTCCCACTAACACAGGTAATTCAGTGCCAAAGTGTTGGGACCTCAGCATGAGTTCCAGTTATTAAGGTTTCTCACTTATCCAGGTCCCACTTAACCAAGTTTCACTGTATATGCATAATATACACACGTAATATTCTCTCAGTTTGGCTAGGCATAGGAAAATAGTAATCGTACAGTAAGATTTTCTTATTAAATAAATCGGTAATCGAGCAGACGGATCACTTGATGGTAAGCAATCGGCGCTGCCCATGGACACCCAAAACACCAGAGGCGTGACCGGCCCTTTGGAGATTTGGAATTTGAGGATTGACGAGATTGGGGAGGGAGGTAATTGGGCCTCCAGTAACCTCACTCACACGACGAAACATAACGCAAGCGTTACTTCACGTCGGTTTTCTGTGAGGCCTTGGTATCACTCCGGTCAAGACGGCCCATTCGAGCCGAAACATGGCTCTCCCACACAACATTGATTTGCAGTTTTCACTGTTATGTTACAAATCCAATTAATTCAAAAGAGTTAATAATCAAAAGTCTATAATACCTTTTGCCTTACTGGAGAGTTGACGCTAAGACATTGGGTGATTCTCCAAAAAAAAAAACAAAAAATTAACGGCGTCATTATCCTTAAGCCAAAGTTAACAATTCTGCTGATTAAAATACAAAGTTTAGTTTAAAAAAATTGTGCCATGTTACTGCTCTCACCCAATCCTATAAAATAAAGATGCTAATAAGTTACTGCGATGCTTAACAACAAGGGAAGATAATGATTTGTTAAATAAAAGTTAAAGTTTTTTGAAGAAACACCCCATTACTTATTTATATATCAAGAAAATTGAAAAAAAGGCGAACAGAATGTCACGTACAAATTATTGAAGCACCAAAATGTCAGTGGTGTATTTAAGTGTGCGTGTGTAATGTATATCACGTTACCAGACTTAGGAAAATGACAGATGTCCTTCGTGTCAATGTGTGTGTATTCTGCGTGTAAGTGTATAGTAGCCAGGTGCCACAGTCGTTGTTACAAGAGACTGTGTCAGCCTTTTTGCAATGTCCTT